TTAAAAGTATCAAGTGCTTCAACCTTATCATGTAAAATATAAAGATACATAAATCTAGAATGGTCATTAATGAATGAGATAAAATATCTTTGACCATTTAGGCAAGGAGTATTAAACGGTCCCCATATTTTAGTGTGTATGATTTCTAAAAATTCCGAGCTCCTCATGGCACCTTTAGTGGTCTTGTTAGTTTCCTTTCCCTTTATGCAATCCAAACAAGTACCAAAATCAATAAAATCAAGAGCGTGTAGAACTCCATCATTCACTAATCTTTTAATTCTTTTAATGAAGATGTGACCTAATCTCCTATGCCACGATGTGAAGGAATTCTCATCAATTTTGCTCCTTTTAATACTTGTATTAACATGCATTGATAAATAGTTGAGCTCAAAAGTGGGATCTAGATCAATTTTATATTAACCATCAATTAATGTTCCACCACCTATAAAAATTTTATTTTTTAAAATACTAAAAATGTTTTCATCAAACAAAAATCCATAACCAATACTACATAGTTTGGAAAGTGAAATCAAATTTCTAAAAAATGATGGAACTTAAAAGACATTTTCCAAATCTAAAATAAATCCAGATTTTAAATTTAATCTAAAGATCCTCACAGTTTCAACTTTAGAGCGCATCCGATTTCTTGAATAGATGCCTTCTTCATTTTCTTTCGGCTTCCTTAGGTCCGAGAAAGCCCTACATGGTAGTCATAATATGGATTGTAGAACCGGAATCAATCCACCATGTATTATTAGGAGTCTCGATAAAGAAAGATTCATGACACACTAAAGAGATGAGTTTATCTTTCTTTACGAGCCACTTTTGATACTTAGGGTAATCTTGCTTAACATGTCCTCGTTTCTTGCGGAAGAAAAATTTACTATTATTGCCATTTTGCTTTATAGGCATATTTTCATGTTTCTTTACCTTTAGAATATTTTTACCTTTCTTAGAATTTTCCTTAGCTTGAGAAACCAAATGAGCACTTTCGGGTTTCTCAAATCTCAATCTCCCTTATTCTTGAGCACACAAGATCAATAATTCATTAATTGATCATTTTTCCTTATGTGTGTTATAAAAAATCTTAAATGGACCATATTTCACGGGGAGAGAGTTCAAAATGAAATGCACCAAGAATGACTTGGAAATCTTTACCTCTAAGGACTTTAATTGAGCGGTAGTGTCCCTCATTTCCATAATGTGCTCACGCACACCTTTAGAATAGTCAAATGACTTGTTAAAAAGCTTTTTCATTAAGGTGTTGGCTAATGCCTTATCGGAATGAATAAATTGTTCCTCTATGGCCTTTAGGAAATCTTTTGCCTTAGAGCATTCGGAGATTGAACCCTTAATACTCTTATTTATGCGAGACTTTATGAGCATTAAACTTAAGCGATTAGATCGATCCCATCGCTCATAATTCATCTTTTCCTGTGCATCGTTTGATTCCGTGGGGATGGGTGGTTCATCCATGCGTAAGGCCAAATCCAAATCCACACACCCCGATGCAAAGAGAATATTTTCTTTCCAATCAGCAAAATTATCACTACATAACATTGAAACACTAGATGTATCAAGAAAAACGAGTTGGAAAAGTCTGTAATAACCAAGAAAAGACTTTAATACTATGAAAAATATACTTTATTTAAATTAACCAATATTAATTTAATAGTAAATTTTAGTCTTCCTGTGGATAGAGGTTGTATCATGCATAGAATTTACTAATTCTTTAATAATAAGACTAATAAATAAAATATCAAGAATAAAAAATATTCACACGAGGGCCTAAAATAAAATCCATTCTTAATATCAATTTATTATCTTATTCTAATTAAATCATAAAAATAACAACCTCCATGTAGGGCCAAGTCATTATTTTTATAAAATAATTACAAATTAAGCTATGTACTTTATGAGCATATTAATTTAATAAACTTTAATGTGATCATCAAAATAACTTAAGATGTTGTGACTATTCCTAAGTCAATTGACATCACCATCTCAATATAACATGCTTTAATATCAACTCATAACTCTACGTTGATATATCAAAATAATAATATAAACCATCTCATTATTTATTTATTATTATATTTAATAATTTTTTTGCATATAACTTTTGCTAACATAGCCTATAAAATATGCATAAAAAATTAAAAGAAATTGTTTACAAGCAAATAATTTATTGTTTGAGCCTCCACGGACAAAGAACTTAAATAAGTCAGGTCTTGTGATTTATATACATACTACGGATCTAGGGCCATATAATTCATATACATTAAATCATTAAATAAATAATAAAAGTATGCATGCCACGGATCCAGGTCATGTGCTTTGATATATAAAAAACAAATGCACTTTTGGCATGTGCTTCGATATATAAAAAACAAATACAATTTTGACAAATTGTACCATTTGTTAGCCTTTTGTCCTTACTTGTCATACCATCCATTCAAAACGGTTTAATGGTCATGTTTTTTTTTTTTTTTACATGAAAACTAGTAAGGACAAATTGTATCACTTTGCTTGTAAACAAAATAGATAATGGCTCATACAGATGGCGGCACCAAAAAGGACAATTATACCATATTGCTCAATTGTATGTGCGATAATTTTATTAAAATAGATTATGCATTACTAATCAAAATAGCAAAAAGAGAGCTCGATACCACATGAAAGAAAATTAAATATGCCTAAGCATATAAGCACAATAAAAATTAATAGGATACATACCTCCTCGTCATAATTGATTAAGTGCTCAAGATATTATTGAAAGAAAAGCTGAATCCGTTAAAGAAAGAGAGTCTTCTAGTCTATGCCAATACTTTAGGGATTTGTGTGTTGATAGAAAACACATGCTTTACTTACTATTTATATGGCTAGACCAATTACTTTTTTTTAACCTAAATTTGCACCTCCATCCATCATGGATGTGCCTAGCCCATCACTAAAGTCCATTGGACTCTAAGTTTTTAAATTGTAACTTATAGATTTAAAACAAAATATGACATATGAGCCACATTATAAGAATATTTCTCATAAGAACCATATGCTCGAAGGAATAATACATTTATACTTGAACAATACATGTCTTTATATCTAGGCAAGGTAACATTTTTTTTTGTCATCTTTAAACGATAATTATTTTTTGATGTTTAATGAAGGGTTTGGTAGAGGACCACTAATGACCTAGGTAAAGGTTATAGAAGGCTGGATGTGTGCTTGTGATTGCGATGTTAGTTGCTAGCCCTTCGAAGTGGAGTTTCTAAGTTTTTAGTCTTAGAGAGAGCTTTACAAGGACGACAATGGGGATAACGAATTGTTATTTCTCATAGATGATGTCATTAATGAAGTTGAAAAACCTAATATAACGAGGTGAATCTTTATAAGGTTGAATTTAAATAGTGATTGTTGTACATGATGATCAAAATGGTTAAAATACGTAAAAAAACAAGTTCTCTTTTGAAAGGTGAGAGATCTTCGATACCTAAGTTATCAACGGTGCATGGAAAATAAGATTATGTTGTAAATGTTGAAGGTTTATATATGTAATTTTATTTTATTTTATTTTTTGAAAAAAGAAGAAGAATACGAGCATGAAAGTAAAAATTGAGAACTCTTTATTCTAAAATTCATGATTGTTTATATTATCGGAATTACTGGCAACTTGCGTGGAAATTGAAGTAAAGAAGTCAATTTCTTTGTCACTCGTAATCTCATATCATAACGAGGAGATCTTTGTTAATATAGAATAGTTGAGGCATCGTGCGGTTTATAAGAGCAACTTCGTAGACGCGCGTGCATTGAATACATGTACGATTAAGAAGTCTTACCCCTTGTTTGGATAGGAAAGAAAGTGGGAGAGAGGAAAGAAAGTAGGGAGGAAAGAAATGTTTTCCTCCGTTTGGTTAGAAAAGGAAAGCGAGTGGAAAGAAAAAAAATAAAAAAACGTATTTTAAGTGGGACCCATTTTCCTCCCAAAATTGGGAGGAAATGGAAGGAAAAACGTGGTACTTCATTCTTTTTTCTTGTCATCACGTTTTTGCCCTCTGTCTCTCGGTCGTCCCTCTCCTTTGCAAACCATCGCGAAACGAAACAAATCCGCAAATCAACACAGAGTTTTCCTTCTTCATTCTTATTGTTCTCCTCTTCTTTTTTTGTCTTCTACTCGCTTCTTCTTTATTTTTTTCTTTATTTTTTAATATTTAATAGTTTCTCCTTCTACTTGTATTTTGTTTCTATTTTCTTCTTCAAACTCTCTCTCTCTCTTATATATATCAAATCTGCTTTGTGAATCATTGAATTCCAATTTGATGGCAACGAGAGTAATTTACTCAAATCGACCAACAATACCTTGTTCCTTGGCTCGCCCCAATCTCATTTCCAAGGTTAGTACTTCATTTGTCTCGTTGTCACTTGAAGTAATTTACTCAAATCAGCCAACAATTCCTAGTTCCTTGGCTCGCCCCAATCTCATTTCCAAGGTTAGTACTTCATTTGTCTCGTTGTCACTTGAAGTAATTTACTCAAATCGACCAAGAAGTTTTTGTTTCGTTTTTGAGAGAAATAAACTTGAAATTTGTTTGAAGCGACCAAAACCCACTTGTTAATTTGTGTTGGGGTTTAGGTTTTTTTTTTTTTAATGAATAAGTTTTCTTTCTTTTCTTAGTTCTTTATAGAGATATTCGGTTACTCTTTATTGATAGCTCGTACTTATAATCTTATAGCATTTTTAATACATGCTCACTTCTAGACCTAGAAGAGATGTTTATATGATTTTAGGGTGGGGTGTTGTATGTAGAATTGCGAGTGGAGAAAATTACCCCAACACAATGTTACTTGTCATATCATTCATGCTTGACATTATTAATCTTCTAGTAATTACTTAGGGCATTGTTTAGCTAAGCAAATTGAGAAAACCATATGCAATTAGGGTGTGGTTTATATCTATATTTATATTAATATTTTTGGTGTGAATGGTGGGAAACGGGAACATCATGACCACATCTGCTAATGAAGGGCAATTCTTGAACATGCTTTTGAAGCTTATCAATGCCAAGAACACCATGGAGATTGGTTTTTACACTGGCTATTCACTCTTGCCACTTGCCTTTGCTATCCCCGAGGATGGGAAGGTAAACTAAAAACTTAAAAAAATTTCAATCCCAAATCATATTTTAATTATTCAAAAAAAAATTAAATCGAGTGATGATAAAAAATGAAATTGGAATATCGTTTGTGATTGTTGTAGATCTTGGCTATGGACATTAACAAAGAAAACTATGAATTGGGTCTCCTGGTGATTCGGAAAGATGGTGTTGCACACAAGATTGATTTCAAGGAAGGCCTTGCTCTGCCGATTGTTGATCAAATGATTGAAGATGTAAGAAATATTCTATGCTTGACAAAAAAATAAAAATGGAAAAAGGAAAAACTTCCTTGTTTGATTACTTGTCCGAGAAAAAGAAATATTGCTCGTTTTTTTAATTTGAGATATTATAATGTTACTAAGCTTACTATTTTGCGTGGGAAACGATAGGGCAAGTACCATGGGACTTTTGACTTCATCTTTGTGCACCACTGATGCACCAATGAGGAAGTATGTGAGATACTATAGGGACTTTGTTTTGGAGCTCAACGAGGCACTTGCTGTCGACCCCGGTATTGAAATTTGTATCCTTCCTGTTGGTGATGGTATCACTCTCGCCATCGGATCAAATGAGGGACTACATTTCCTGCTAATATTATATATCAAATGTTGACCATTGATTTGGTCACTTGCAAAAACAAGTGAGATGCATTGAATTTCCTTTTTCACAACTTTGTATTTCAATGGGCTATTATATTTGTACTCAAAACTCATGGTGAATGTTTGAGAAATTGTATTCTTATATTTCGCGAGTGAATTTTTTATGCACTTGTATATGTCTTGTTCAAGAACTCGAGCTTGTTTGTGTCCATGATTCAAGCAAGACCTGCGGTCTCGAGTGGCGGATGTGGAAATGGTTGGATCAAAATACTTCCTTGTGTGAATGCATCAACTTGTGGATATATACTATTACTTCATTGTAGATAAATGACTTTCCAAGCACATGGTAATTGTTTGTGACTAGGTCCTTAAAGATGGTTGGATAAATGGAGCGAGTTGTCCTTGGTGTTCCTGTTAAAGCTACAATCAAGGAGGTACTTAATATTCTTTGGAAGTTGTATATGCCTTGTACGTTTTTTGTTGATCTTAAAATATTTTTAATGAGTTTTTATCTATATTTATATTATTGTTTTTTTTTTTTTTACTTTCAAATTGTGCTTTTGATAGGTTCGCAATGATGGTAATGGTCAAGATGCTCTTTCTCCTAATCGCTCATCACAATCAAGTCATCTGTCGAAATGAAAACATTTCCATAAAAACATGATTTTTTTTTGTTAGCCACTTATTTTAAACTATATTTGAAATTTTGTTTATGTATTTTGAACAAGTGTTTAATCTTTTAGTTTTTTATTTTTATTTTTTTACTTGTGAATGTTTGAAGATTTTTTATGTATTTGGAATTTGATAATTACAAATTTAAGAATATTGTGTAAGCTATATAATTTTTCTTTTATTTGCATTCAACAAGATTAACTTTTTGATATGGGATACTCCTAAATTTATCAAATAAATTATGATTTTTATCAATTTTTTTGATAATTGATGAAAAATATATTGATAATTGTATAAAAAAAAGTTATAGAAATAACCATTTAATTAATACATTTAACGATACTTTTTGATATCCCACCCAAATTACTAAAAATGATAATCATCAATTCAACCTTTCGATATTAATATATATTCATAATGTCTCACACGTGCACCTTCATTTATTTTTTGTTCCATAAAAAATGGAGAAAAAAATTGTTACCAACGACTTCCCAAAACCCTTACAGAGCAATCATTTTGGATAGGTCATTTGAACCACCGAAGCAACTCCAAAAATACCCTCAAACCAGCTTCAAAACCATCCCAAAAAACCTTTAAAAAGTAGGCCTAAAACCAACCTCAAAACGGACCCAACACCTTCCCAAACTCAGCCACGAAACTCTTACCAACGACCTCCAAAACCGTTACAGAGCAACCTCTTTGGAAAGGCCATTTGAACCACCAAAGAAGCTCCATAAACACCCCCAAACCAGCTTCAAAACCACCCACAAAAACCCCAAAACCCATAAAAAACGAGGCTTAAAACCAATCCCCAAAACAGACCCAACACCTATCGAAAAGCCCCCAAACTCAGCCCTAAAAGCTGTTACCAATAGCCCACGAAAACCGTTACAGAGCAACCCCTTTGGAAAGGCCATTTGAACCACCAAAGAAGCTCCACAAACACCCCAAACCACCTTCAAAACCACCCAAAAAAACCCCAAAACCCATAAAAAATGAGGCCTAAAACCAACCCCCAAAACAGACCCAACACCTATAAAAAGGCCCCAAACTCGACCACAACCGTTACCAACGACCCCGAAAACCGTTACGGAGAAACCCTTTGCAAAGGCCATTTGAACCACCAAAGAAGCTCCATAAACACCCCTAAATCAGCTTCAAAACCACCCACAAAAACCACAAAACCCATAAAAAATGAGGCCTAAAACCAACCCCAAAACAGACCCAACACCTATCGAAAAGCCCCAAACTCGATCCTGAAACTCGTTACCAACGACCTCCGAAAACCGTTACAGAGCAACCCTTGGCAAAGGCCATTTGAACAACCAAAGAAGCTCCACAAACAACCCCATACCAGATTCAAAACCACCAAAAAAACCCACCAAAATAGACACAAAATATCCCTCAAGACATCCCCTGGAACACTTTTTGGAGTTAATGCAAAAGAAAAGAATAAATAAAAATTATTTGTGATTTATCTCATTTTCCGTGATTCAAGCTTTCTTTCGATGATTGTTCGCAATGTTACAATATATATATATATATATATATATATATATATATATTTTAATTGCTTAATAGTAATTGTTTATTCTAACAAAAAAAACGGAGAAATGATGAGTAAAAGCAACTAACTTATTATATGCATAGCTAATAATACATGTTATACATATTTAAATTAATTTTATGTTGATAATTAATATAAATTGGCTATTGAATTAATTAATTAATAAACGAGTTATCGGTTATGCTATGGAGACGATTCATTATCTATCTTATCATTTCGGATATATGCTACATGCTATATTTTTTTATCATCATTTGTGTTATTTTCATGACAAAAATATTCATACAAATTTATTATAAGTATTTAAATATATAAATATAATCACAAGGGTATTATAGTAAATATACAATCATACATTTTCTTTCCTTCCTCTTCCAAACAAAGGAAATGCATTTTCTTTCCTTTCCTTTCCACTCTTATCCAAACAACAAGTGAAAAATAATTTTCTTTCCTCTTACTTTCTTTCCTCTCTTTTGTTTCCTCTCAAGAAGAATTATCCAAACATAGGGTTAACGTGGACAAGAGGCAGATCAGGTTGACCCAAATAAGGCATTCCTCTCGTGTTTGGGCTAACAAGCCTTACACGAGTAGTGAACCTCTCTACGTATGTCCAGCTGTCGAAACCATGCGGAGAAAAAAATCCAAAATGATACTATTGTACCTCGGCTACATCAAGTCCCACTAATATAATACTTCAAGTTTTATTTCTTATTAATTTTTTATTAATGTTTAACTGATCAATTTATCAAGCCAATGGATTATAGCTCTTTGCTATTAACGTTTTTTTTTCCTCTTAAAAACTCTAGTTTGGAAATTGGAACCTCTTTGTTGTTAAAAATAGTAATAATAATTCCACAAACAATTCTCAGAACTCAGATTGATAGGGGGAAGCATCTACTGATGAGTATACGATCCGAATCGTGCATGGATTTCTTTCTTCGAGAAAGTCCAAAAAATCCTACTGTAATCCAGCGAAGACAAAAGGACCCAAACGTGTCAAAACGTGCAGCCAGCGTAATAATTTAACCGCAGCATCGTCTTCCGCTCGCATCGAGCAACAAATCACAACGAGCTGGGCCTCAAAACTCACACTTCCCATGTTCTACTCGTGCCATTAACAGATTTACAGCTAAGCCACTGCACTCTCCATCGTTAGCCCACAATATCATTAACAGCAACATTCGGGACAGCCTCCGGTCGCAAATGCAAATTTAGGACTCAGAGAGTAAGCTGTTACGAAAATTTAGATATAAAGAAGGGTTGCCATATTATCATATACAGCGCAAGACTTGTCCAATCTTTGCTTAAATATTTTAAAAGGTTTGTTCCCATATTCGGACATATGTTTGTTCGGACATATGTTTGTTTCCATATTCGGACATATGTTTGTTTGTACCAATAAATTATTTATCTAATAATAAGTTAATTGATTCTCAAACAAATGTTTTACTAGTAAGTAATATTTAAATTCTAGAATCTTATTATTATTTTTTTTAATATTAAGTTTTATTGTTTTCGTTTTGAATATAATTAGTCTTATCTTTTAAATATTGGATAAAATATCTTAGTGAAAAAAAAATGTTTATCATTTGTTTTTTTAGAGTTTTATCATTAAGAGATTTTTTTTAATGTAAAAGTTTATTTTAAAAATCATCCCAAAAATAAATAATCTTTATTCACACGTAAATTGAGGAAAAAAAAAAAAAAACCGACACCCTCATAGTCTCTTACTAAGAAAGAAAAACAATATTCTCAAGAGGTTGTGCCACTCCTTGATGCTTAAAATTCAAAATTCAGTTTGATTGATTTTGGTTGATGAAAAAAAATAAAAAAAAATCGCATGAATTCACTTATTTCGGAATAGATAATGTCTCTAATTAAGCAGATAATTGAAATGGACGAAAGTATGTCTTTATGGAAGAAAGTGAAGGCAATAATATTACTCCATTAATATTGGCTTTGATGGAGTGTGCATACACAGGAAGGTTAAAAAAGAAAAGACAGGGGGGCTCTTATAAATTTTTTCATACGCATTATCTTTCCTCACCTACCTGGATATTCTCTCTCCTGTCTCTGTCATTTTCTCTCCAATCAACTAGCTAGCAATTATCTTCTCTTGCTAAGTTTGTTTTTTTCTTTGATCAAATATTCAAGTGCAAAAGCTTGAAAGTACCAAAACAAGAAAAACAGAGTTGGTATCACCGTAAGAGAAGGGAGAGAGATCTGAAGATAAACTAGAAGAAGAAAGAAAATGAGTTTCAGGGACGACAATGAAGAAGGAAGGGGAGATTTAAGGAAACCATTTTTACATACTGGGAGTTGGTACCGTATGAGCTCAAGACAATCTAGCATGTTGGGTTCTTCTCAGGCAATTCGCGATAGCTCTATCTCTGTTGTTGCTTGTGTTTTGATTGTCGCTTTGGGCCCCATCCAATTCGGTTTTACTGTAAGCTACTTGCTACTCCATAAACTGGAACTAGTTAAACCAATTCTTGTTGATTACTTGTGGCTCTTTTTTTTTTTTTAATGTTGTTTCTTTATTGTTTGTAGTCTGGTTACTCTTCGCCAACTCAAGCTTCAATAATGAAGGATCTTGGTCTTACAGTATCCGAGGTTTGTTTTGAATATGTTCTTGGGGTTTTGTTATTTAGTTTGGTTTGATTTCGAATTAAGTTTCTAATACTAGTGCTGTTTTATTCGGTTAGTTCTCTTTATTTGGTTCACTATCAAATGTGGGTGCTATGGTTGGTGCTATATCTAGTGGTCAAATTGCAGAGTATATCGGACGAAAAGGGGTATGATTGATTCAGGTTTTTCTTCGTTGATTATATTGCTTATCTTGGTTTTGGATCACTGAGTTATTGGTTTTGTTTTGTTTTTAATCAACTGCAGTCTTTAATGATTGCTGCTATTCCTAATGTTATTGGATGGCTAGCTATATCTTTTGCCAAAGTGAGTTATAAATTTTTAACCTTTCTACTGTTGACTCTATGCTTATTTAAAATGTGGGCATGATCATCTTAAATCACTAGAGCAATAAAGGATTGACCTTTTTTTTTTTTTGTTAATCGAGCAGGATTCGTCTTTTCTATATATGGGAAGGTTATTGGAAGGTTTTGGTGTCGGAATTATCTCATACACGGTAATTTTCGGTGTTTACTTGGTTTTTCTGTTTTGGATTTGTGTTAAAATAATGCCTGGGATATTAATGTGGTTTATTGTTTGTAGGTGCCTGTATATATAGCAGAGATAGCACCTCAAAACTTGAGAGGGGCATTGGGTTCGGTGAATCAGGTTTGCTGCATTTTTGAGCTTATTCATTTCAGGAACTTGAATTATGTTGGAATATTGGTATCAGGATTTGATTGCTTTCAAATTAATCAAATTTTGATATTTTCTTTTCTAGCTCTCTGTGACGATTGGAATCATGCTTGCTTATCTGCTTGGATTGTTTGTTGAATGGAGAATACTTGCAGTTTTAGGTATGTTCCAAAAGATTATCTCTGATAGCTACTCTGCTAGTGAGATGAAATTGTTGTCTTAAACAGTGCTCGTCGTAGACGATTATATCACTTTTTTTGAAAAAAAAAAACACCAGAAATGGTAAATGACTAACTTTTTTTAATGGTAATAACTTGATCAACTTCTTTTCAGGGATATTGCCATGTACAATTTTGATACCAGGCCTGTTCTTCATTCCAGAATCTCCTAGGTGGCTGGTAAGTTTTATGAAGTACATGTTATTCTTTTAATGTCTCTGAGATATATTATTTATTGATTTCATTTTCTTGCCACCCACTCTCCAAATTAGGCTAAAATGGGCATGACAGAAGATTTTGAATCTTCTTTGCAAGTTCTTCGGGGTTTTGATACTGACATTACTGTCGAAGTGAATGAAATCAAGGTATCAACTGCTGTTGAAATAATTTTTAACTGCAACAAGTTGCTGTGCTTCTGTATGGGCAATTTCATCCTTGGATGCAACTTGCATGTTGCTACCCAAGGTTGTTTATTAACTTTGCTAAACTGGCATTGTTTAGAGAGCTGTAGCATCAACAAGCAGAAGGACTACAATCCGATTTGCAGAACTCAAGAGGAAAAGATATTGGTTTCCTTTAATGGTAATAATAATGCTAAGAACTTCTTATTTCCAGTAGGCTTTTATAAGACAAAACCTAAGTTGCTTTTGGTTGATCAATTCCTGCAATTCAGGTTGGAATTGGATTACTTATACTGCAGCAGCTGAGTGGAATTAATGGTGTTCTATTCTATTCAAGTAACATCTTTGCAACTGCTGGTAAGCACAACATAGTCCCCCATCTACTCTGAAGCGTGGAGCATTTTATCAGGTTCTTGCACCATTGCATGGGAACCGATAACCATTTTTCTCTTGTTGAAAACAATATATTTCATTTCTGATATTTTCTCCTAGTATTCATTTTGTGATTTTTAACATATTCTCTACATGTGCCATTGTGAGTGTAGGATAACCAACTCGGGAAAACTAGCATGGCCCATTGGCATTTAAAAGCTTGTGAACATACCTCATTTTCACTTTATATCTCTCTCTGTTTTGTTTGGAAAAATAGTGATTTCAGTGGAAAAATTGGAAGTCTATTCTGAAACGATATGCTTATGTTTCCAGAATTAAGGAGTTGTGGTTGCACCAGGAAACTGGATTAATCAAAGATATATTTGCACAAATTACCTTTAAATTGCTGACAAGACCTGCAATGAAATAGTCTCACGTTAATAGCCAAATTCTCCCAAGGGGTGCCATTGTTTATGTTTGATATATCAATCATCGTGTTGGATATGTACATTGGTTTATCTAAGTTCCATTTTAATTTTCCAAATCTCGCAAGATCAGCTTAGTGTTAAATGGTTCTGATTAGTTACCTTAATTTTGAACAGGGGTTAAAGATAGCAATGTGGCCACATTTGGGGTTGGTGCCATTCAGGTATAGCTTTAAGAGGACTTGCAAAATGATTTTTTCTTTCTGCAGTACAATGTGAATTATACTGTGTCTTTAGAAGATTTTCTTAGACCATAGTTGTAACTGGAGGTATATGGTGTACAGGTGATTGCAACTGGAGTAACAACATGGTTGGCAGATAGAGCAGGTCGCCGGCTTCTGCTTATAGTGAGTTAAAGCAAAACCATTATGATTAAAAATTCTTGCTTGGACAAATGGCAATTGATAACGGTTTCTTTTCTTTTGTTGCAGGTCTCAGCTTCTGGGATGACTATCAGTCTCCTAATTGTTGCTGTATCATTTTTTGTCAAGGTAACTACATGTTGAATTTGTTTGTGGTTTCCATGATCCTCACAAGCAAGATTGGGATGTTACCTGGTTATACAACTGCATAAAGTTTTTTTGCCCTGCATATTGTTAATTAACTCAGGGTTTTGCGCCGGAAGACTCTAGTTTGTATAGCTTTTTGGGGATCTTATCAGTAGTTGGAGTTGTGGTAAGTGGATGTTTACTGCAGTAGCTTCCCCAGTTTTTTTTTTTTTTTTTTTTTTTTTTTTTTAAACTTAGTTGATGCTTGTTAAATTCCCTGCCAATCTCTTTCTTTCAGGCCATGGTAGTTGCCTTCTCTTTGGGAATGGGACCCATCCCTTGGATTATAATGTCGGAGGTACATATATTTTATTACTGTTTAATAGTAATCACAGCCTTTGAATTTGTCTGTTCTCATCATACTTGACAAGATTTTGTTTGCTTCCCTCCTAAATGAGATTCAATATCTGCCCACAAGTGTTGGCTGAGATTGTCTCATGTTTTAGCATTATTTCATAACCTTAGTGCTCCAAACCATGCAATCATGGGACTCCTTATTGAGGGCAAGTTTCACAGCTTCTTTCATGAAGACTGGACTGGTAAATTGGTACCTCCATATCTCGAAAGGATAATCATGATTTATGGCCTAATAATGTAATTAACATGTGAATGCAGATTCTTCCTGTCAACATTAAGGGTCTTGCTGGAAGTATAGCAACACTTGCCAATTGGCTGACCTCCTTTCTGATCACGATGACTGCAAACTTGCTCTTGAATTGGAGCACCGGAGGTTTGCCCCCCTCTCTTTCTGTGATTAAAGACGGAGCGCCTTTACTTTTATAATAATTTTACCATGTTTCTTATGAACAGGAACTTTTATAATTTACATGGTTGTGAGTGCTTTCACTCTGGCATTTGTGAGTCTGTGGGTTCCTGAGACGAGAGGAAGAACTTTGGAGGAAATTCAAAGCTCCTTCAGATGAGGTTTTCTTGGTTTTTGCTTGTATGAAATCATTCTTTTTTTCCTTTCAATTGAAAGAAGCCAGTCTTGGCATTTTCTATTTGTATCGATCTTGTTGGTAATGCGCTGACTGATATGTTAAAAAATAAAAAGTTTTCCCAGCAGAAAATGAATGAGTTAAATATACGTGTGATTTGTGAAATATTTCTGACCATCATAGATGGCATAATGGACCCTAAGATGTCGAGAAATTTTAGAAATCTCCCATGATGATATGTTGCGTACTTTCATAGGAAACTAGTTAACAACCCTGGCATTGGTTCGATCGGGATATGATATAATTTTGTGTTTTTTTTTTTTTTTTATATATATATATATAATTCCAGTGATTTTTATTTCCTAAATCATTAAAATACAATTAGACATATAAATCTTGGTGAATCTTGTAGATGTAGAAGCAACAATTTAATTAATAAAATAAATAAGGTTGTTTCCATAATTGATCAATGTAGGAATATTTATCTGGACACAGTAGGATAGAAACAGGCGATATAAAGTGTACATTTTTAAACCGAATTTTGCTGCACAAAAAACATTACTATCATTTATTTATAGAGTCAAATGTTGGGTTATTAAAAATATCAATTACACTAAAAAAAAGTTAATTATATAAAACAACTTTCGTTATCTAAATACAAAATGCATTTAGATATCCAAACTTTAATCTAAAATGTTTTTCATTTTTTTAAAAAATCTAACTAGGAAAAACAAATATCTGGGCCTGTTTGGTGTCACTGTGTTGCGTTGTGCTGTTCGGTACTATGTTATGGGGTAAAATTAATATTTGATCACTGGTTGCTGTGATATACTTATCAATGTTTAAAGTAGTTAAATGATGTTTGGTTAAGTTTTATTATTGTGTTTTTGACATATAAAATGATCAATAAAGACTATAACAAACTAAAAATATTTTAATAAATAAATTTCTTTTATATTAAATGATTTATAACTTTTTAAACTTACATGATATGTATACATATTTTTTATGAGAGTGATGCTTAAGTTAAAAAAAAAAAAAAAAGTTAATATATACATACACATCATTTCCATAAAATCAATGATAAAAAAAAAAACAGATTTTGAAATAGAATTACACAAAGCCCTAGCATCTTTAGAATGTATAACTTTTTTAAGGAAATAAAAAATGGAAAAAGTTATTTTAATTAAAAAGAAATGAAATCTCTTATTATATTTTCTGTATTTTGAAATTTATCTCATATATATATATATAATAATCAAGTATTAAAATAATTGAATAATTAAATAATCATCAAGATCTTGAATAAAATAAATAAATAAATATTAATTTCAAGATGGACAAATGCAACCGACATGACATTTGCAGATTCATACAAATAGTGGTTATAAGGTTATAGATTTAAAAGAAATCTAAATACAAATAGCATACACAAATAATATGCATAGTATGAAAATATATACATCGCAGGAAATATATGAAAAATTTTAAGATATTAGGGTTAATGTATTCATCTATTCTTATATATTGGATGTATTTTTCAATATATCATTTCAAGAAATTTTCATTCTCATATGCGACTTTATATATTAATATTACCTCTCATACATTCTTTTGCTAATTTTAGGACAAAAATGCCACTTCGGCAACAATAAGAAAATCAATTTATAAAAAATTAATTTTTCAAACCTTAACAAAATTTGAAAAATGTAGAAAATAGAAAGAAATTTTTTTATATAGAAACTAGAAAAAATTGAAAATTTTAGAAACTTAAAAACTGGAAATATATCAAGAAAATTGAAATAACACATAAAAAATATATAAAAAACATTGGTAACTAATGGAAAAATTGAATGCTCAAATCCAGCAAACTCATTTTGTGGCTATAGACATATTTCTATTAGTGAGGTTTTATGGACAAGTTTTTTCATTTTTACATTTTACAATTTTTTTTTTTTTTTAAGGTTTTTCAAAATTTTCTTTTTTTCCCTTTTATTTCTTTTTATGTTTTGTGGTTTTTTTCTAAGATTTTTCATATGTTTTAGAAATTTAATTTTTCTTTTAATGGTCATAAGGCATTTTTGTCTTAAAAAAAATGATAAAATGATATACCGTAGAAAATATGAATATATAAGGTTATATAGGAGTGAAACATTCTTAGAAAAAATATAAGAGAATAAGCTCAATATATAAAGATAAATGGAGAATTAACTCAAACAATTAACACTTTAACAAGCATCTCAAAAACATAAAGAGCCAAGAGCATCAGGTATGTATAGGTTTAAGAATTACATATAGTCGTAGTTCATTTTGATCCAGGGAATAACCTAACTAAGAGATCATTATCCTTTCAATTAGTTTGTGCATACTTGATTTTCCTTTTATTTTCTTGGATACATGAGACTAAAGAGTTCTCTGATTATTTCATACAGAAATCTCTACTATTGCGCCAAGAGTTCAATCCCAAGTTGATGTTGCTTATTGCATTCGTGTTCCTTTTTGCCAGGTAACTTGGCCAAGATCCATGACTGGATGATCTAAATTTAATTAATAATGTGACTTTTAATTTATTTGTGTAGGGTCTTTCTCTTGGATGTTGCATTCATCAATGATATGATATCTGATACTGAAATCAGATCAAGTTCAAGGTGTGATACTTTTCAAATATTTATACTGAATTTTTTATTTTTTATTTCTCAATAATGGTGTGAAAATTAATTGATTGTGTCAAACATGGCTAACTTTAACCAAAACAACTGAAATATGAACGTCCCGGTTTTTTGTACCAATCTTTTAGAATTCTAATTATTTTCAAATTAAGCGCTTGAAAAGCAAAGCATATAACATCTAATTGAATCTCAAAAAAAAGAAAAAGAAAAAAGAAAGAGAAACGGGCTTAGCTCAAACGATTCAGCAATAATTCATGGGATGGATTGCTGTAACATTCTTTTGATGATTGATGACTATCTAAACGAATCAAGAAAGAAAATAAATAATAATAATAATAAATAATTACAAGATAAAAAATTTATATAATTGACAAATATATCTACTCTACAGCTACAGCTGTAGTATGAGTTCTTATTAAGTTTTTCATATTATTAAAAAGGTTCTTACGAACCTATACAATTGATCAAATATTTAAAAATATTTTTAATAAGATTACTATAATACTTCTACGTAGTATATTAAATTACAGATCATATCTTCACAACTTAACACAGCTTACATACTATGATTATCTCTGAAAAACAAAATCATATTCTATATTATGATCATATACGAATAATAAAACCATTAATATTGTATCATGGTCCTAGTACGAAAGCATACAAATAGTCTAAACGTGTGCTCTTTTTTGTTACCAACTGCGATCACGATACCTCGTTTGATCTTATAAAATATTAATGGATTGTGACTCTCTCGAATGAAACAAAAGCATCCTCCCAAGTCCCAACCATTAGTCAGCTAGCAAATAAACTGGAAGGTAAAGGGAGCTTCACGGCATTGACTGGCAGACAGGCAGGTATGCATGTTAGGTTGAAGATACGTGAGGTTTTTGCTTTGACAAGTTCCCTAAGGTTAAAATCCGTAGAAAATTTAATAGTTCTGTAAGGTTTAAAAAACATTAATCTAATTCCTGAAAGTTTCTAGTATAAGAAACCTAACTCCTTTATTTTTGAAGAAAAATCTTGCTGGTCCTAGTTCAAAAAAATCATTATTTTAACTCGTTTATCATTATTTTTAATATTCATTTTTCTGAATTTTTAGGAAGAATGTTTTTTTTGCTCATGATTTAAAAAATATTTATATATTTTTGCCCTAGAGTCGCACTTTCACATGTCAAAGAGCGAAACGCACATCGAATTTTTTGTTTTCTATTAACTTTAAGTTTATCTGTTAAAAAAAAAAAAATACCAAAAGAGTACGAATTTTTCTACCAGTAAATTCAATCCAATGTTAGATAAGTAATAAGGAAATGTCAAACGAAACCAAAGTCTTTTTATTGCAACTATTTTATATAAATCTTTACCATTCAAAAGTTTCTCTTACAGCAGTTGGAAGAAGGAATAAATTATTCTTATCACCTTCTCAAGCATGGTTAATTTTCAGCAAACAGGGGAGGTTGAATTGGTAATCAAGTATATCAGAGCAAGCAGGAAACAGGAGGACGTAATAAGCAATGAAAAGAAACACGAAGATTAGAAGATCATGCAGAACTAAAAAGAATTTCTGAGATAGGCAAGTTCCTCATCTTTTATCCAATCTTGCAAAGCTGCTAGACAATATATTAACACAGAAGTTGAGGAGGATGTACATATAAATTACACAACAAATGTTTTAAGGAAATTAGTTGCTAGCTAAGCCGGGCCCTAAAAGGTACAATCACTGATGGCTGAAAAGGGTACATGTAGGGTTTTTTCTTTTTCTATTTGACCAAGTATTGAGTGAAGAACAAATAGAACAAACAAGATACACAACGAAAACAACATCTGCAATTCCATAACCAAAATAAAAAGACCAAGGAAAGTACAATTCAAAGACTACAGGCAAGACAGAACAGTTAAAGACTCCTACTGAGTAATATGAAGAACCTGAAGGGATTGGAGAGTCTAATCCAATCGTTCTTGACCTAGGCAACTAACTTCACGGGATACATGTTTATACAATCTTCCCAGGGACTATTGGGAGATGGCTTCACATTTCGGAGTGCCTCCCACACTGCACTATTACATTTAAAACCACTTCCAAATGCAATCTGCCACACACAATTGCCCTTTCGCATCCTTCGTTTAGCCTCGATATAGGCCAATTCATACCAAATCGAACTTGATGAAGTATTCCCAAACCGGTGCAGAGTCATCCTAGAAGCCTCAACATGCACCGGCAAGAGCTGCAAATTCTTCTCCAGCTCATCAATCACAGCCCTACCTCCAGCATGTATACAGAAATGATCAAATGCCAACTTAAAATCCGGAATATAAGGCATCATCTTCTTATTAAACAACTTCTTAACCACCAAAGTTGCAAAGAACAAAAGCTGCTCACTAATAGGAAGCACAAGAGGACCCAAAGTAGTAATATTAGTCTTCAAAGCCCCTCCCGCAATCGCCATCAAATCTTTCGACAATGAAACACCAGTCTTCCCTGCATCATCCTGTTCTTGATACACACAACGAAATGCCTTATCATCAGCTCCACGATGTGTCCTCACAACATGAACAAGCTTATACTTAGCCTTCCTTTTATCACCAGATTTATTCGAAAGCAAAACCGCCGAACCCCCAACACGAAACAAACAATTGGGTATCAACATAGACTTTTTATTCCCAAAATACCAATTCTGAGTAATGTTCTCCGTGCTCACCACCACCGCATAAGTATTCCTATGAACTTGTAACATATCCTTGGCAAGATCAATTGCAATAACACCAGCACTACAACCCATCCCACCTAAATTAAAACTCCTAATATTCCCCCTTAATCTATACTTATTCACAATCATAGCCGAAAGCGACGGTGTTGGATTAAATAAACTACAATTAACAACAAGAATACCAATACTTTTAGGATTAACATGAGTATTAGAAAATAAATTATCCAACGCACCATACATAACCTGTTCAGCTTCTTCTCTCGCCGCCACCATCGAAGGCCTAGGAGGAATGTAATGCATTGCTTCAGGGACATAAGTCTCCTCTCCAAGCCCAGACCGCTCCAAAATCTTGCGTTGAAACTCAAGCGACGTGGCGTCGAAGTCTCCAGTCAATCTCGAATGCTCCATGAACTGATTAAACGGTGCCTTTAAATGATCCGGAGCGCGATAACAGGCGAAATCGATTAAGTAAACGGGTCTGGGCCGGGTCATAACGAAAACTGTGAAACCGAAGACGAGAAAAGCGGAGCAGGTGATGATTGTGACTAAATTGTATTGAAGGTGGATCCACAAATGGCGGAGATCATTGATATTCATCTGCGAGGCTTCGATGGAGATAATTATGATTAAGGGAATGAAGCATAAGGTTAATAGATTGGAGATTAAGTAGTGATAGCCTAATTTGACGTGCTTTAGATTTACACTTTGTAAGAAATCTGGAAGCCGTCGTTGTTGGTGGATTCGAATCTCCCCGCCGGAGTCCATGGCGGTGGTAACGGAGGTTGCGAGTGTGTTTGGGTGGAGGTGTGACTTTTTTTGGGAGTGAAGTAGCCAACAGTGCTGCTGCTGCTGATTTTTTTTTTTTTTTTATTTGACGGTTAAATAACAGTTTGTTTTTTTTTTTTTTCGACTTAAATGAGTTGCATGTGAGACAGTACAGTTTTGATACGCGGCAGATGCTGGGGTTGACGGTGACATTTGGTAGTTGACTGTCGCAGCTGCTAGTTCTAGCAGCTTTGGGTTACATTGATAAAGGCTAGTAGTGGTTCTGGGCTCTGGGTATGTTTTGAATTTCCAATGGGCCTCAGCTGCACATTGACTCATACATAAGGCTCGTTTGGCATCGTTTATGGTTTTGTTTTCGAAATTCTTGGAATAGAAATTGAACATTGTTATGAAATAATGAATGTCCATCATCATGTTCATTCACTTTTCATAGCTTCACTACTCATGATTCTTAATATGATTCAATTCATCATTCAATATGAGAAATTGAAAGGGTGATGCAATTGATTATTTATAGTCTATTCCAATTCTCTCCTTAATTTTAAAGCCTATAAATAGATTTGATTATTCATTAGTTGATGTATAAGTTTTCTAGAGAGAATAAGAGAAACTTTGAAGTTCTTATCACTTGTATTCACATTATAGTGATTTTATTTTCTTGTCATCCTTTCATTTAATTCTCCTATTATTTCTATTTATTTTATAATATGTTATCGGCACGAAGCTCTAGCCAATCGAGATAATAGACTATGAGGTATGTATCTACCAAAAGATTTAATCAATTGTTTCAACAATTGGATTTCTACACAAGTGCTCTACCAAAAGATCTAAATTATTTAGACCATTAAGAGGTATGTATCTAATTTATTCATGTACTTTAAATCTATTGATACATGAAATATATATTTGAAAAACTTAAATGATCTACTAATGATCTAATATATGTTATTTGAAAAGCTTTAATTTTATTATTATATTTGTTCTTATTTTCTACTATTATTATTATATATTGTATTATAAAATTTTTATCATATCAAACCTCATAAACTTGATTTGGTTACTCTTAATATTTTGAATAAGAATGATTGATTATGAGTGCTTGATTTTGAAAAAATATTCTCTACTTTTTATGTCTTAGATATGCTCTTGCAGTAGCATATCGAGAAAAAGAGTTTAAGAAATATTTTGGATCGATTTTATACTTGTTAGTGGTTAAATAAAATGAAAAAGAATAAATTTCATCCAATTGGATCTACTCCATTCTCTCGAAGTGAATGTGAAAATTTATAATAATTTTAGACATGGATGAAGATGTGGTTATAGCCATGGATATGGTCGAAATAATTATGATTATAATCGTGATGACCATAATATTACATCTCACCACCGAAGTGAATAACTATAAAAAAAATAAATAAAAATAGATAAAGTCAATATTCTGAAAAATAAATATTATAGATGTGGAATGAATGAATATTGATCGTGTACCTATCGTATACCAAAGCACCTCATTAAGGCTTGTCAAGCCTTATTGAAAAATAAAGAGTAAAATATGAAGGTCACTTTTATATATCAAAATAATAGTAATTGAAATTAATTACTTGTTAGTTTTTCTATTTATAAATAAAATGTTTTATATTTCTTATAATTTATGTCATATATTGATTGTTACAAATTTATTTTACTATTTATTTGTTTGTTTATGTTTATGAGGTATATATTGATTTATTTATTTTGTATTGATTTATTTGATTATTTATTTTATGTTAATATTATATATGATAATATCAATATAATAGAAAGCTCTAGAAGAGCGACTATATTATTATCTAAAGAGATAGATTTTGAAGGCTCTAGAAGAGCGATTATATCATGACTTGAAGAGATAAATTTTTGAAGCTCTAAAAGAGTGAATAAATTATTACTTGAAGAGAAAATGTTTAAAGGCTCTAGAAGAGTCGATATATTATTACTTGAAGTGACTAATTTAAAGGTTCCGGAAGAGCAAATATGTTGTTATCCGAAATGATAAATTTATTATAAATGATGTACTATTCTCTTCAAAGTCTCATAGAAATTTGTTGAGTTTCAAAGATATTCATCCGAATTAATATCATATTAAGATAGCAAATGTGAATAATTATATGTTATAATCATTATATCGGGTAGAAAATATCTATCAAAAATTTTTATCTCGTTTTCTCTTCTAGTCTTTATTACAAATATTGAAATGATTGAAATAAATATTATAGTAAATCGAAGTTTACTAATTTAAATACTTTTACTATGTGACATGACCGAGTTGTGTTATCTTGGGTCTTTCATGATTCGAAGAAATTATTAAAAAAATTTATATGAATATTTATTGAAGAGCCGGAAGATTCTTCAATTTAATGAACTTTCATGTTTTGCATGTTGTCAAGACAAATCGATGATTAAGCCATCATCAAGTAAAATTGAGATTAAATCTTCGGTATTTTAGAATGTATTCAAGGTGATATATGTGGATCAATTCATCTACCATGTAGATCATTTAAATATTTTACAATTTTGATAAATGCATCCACAAGATGGTCACATATATGCTTATTATCTACTCGAAACCCGACGTTTTCGAGATTGCTAGCAAATAATTTGATTTCGAGCATAATTTTCAAATTATACTATTAAAACAAGTCACCTTAACAATGCTCGATGAATTTATTTCTCAAGCATTAAATTATTATTAATTGGCTATTAAAATAAAGGTTAAACATCCTGTTGCTCATGTTCATACTCAAAAAGGTTTAGCAAAATCATTTATCAAAAGGATTCAATTGATAGCTAAACTATTATTTAAAAATAAAACTCCATGTTTATGTTTGGGGACACGCAATCTTACATACAGCAACACTTATTTGCATATGACCCATAAGTTATAAAAAATTCTCTCCTCTTCAATTGATTTATGGTCATGAGCCAATTATTTTTTATTTAAGAATTTTTGGCATTGCGAGTGTATATCCTTAGTGCTATTCCATAATGAAATAAAATGGGTACTTAAAAGAGATTGAGAATATATGAATCCTCTTCGATAATTCAATCTCTTGATTCATGAACAAGATAAAATTTTTACGACTCGATTTATCGACTCGTCATTTTGATGAAATAGTTTTTTCAACATTAGGGGAGAGAGAATAAGCAAAATAAGCGAGTTGAAAATGTTTATAAAAAAAGATTACATGGAGTACTCATCTTATATCACCTTGATTCTTGTAGAAGATAATGTGAACTAGAAGTTCAAAAGATAATTTATTTATTAGGTATTGAAACCAACCGCAAGATGCATTCTCGGATCTTAAATGAGTAACTAAAATGCATGTCCTTGCTAAGAATGCTCATATTAAAATTAATGTCTTAAAAGGACGATCTATTAATGCTATAGTTAATGAAGCTAAAACAAGCTCGAAGCGTGGAAGATCGATCGGTTCTAAAGATAAAAATTCCTAAAAGAAAAGGGCAATATGAAAATATTCACAAAACCATCCAATATATTTCGATAAAAGGGTTCGGAAGAAGTTTAAATACTTGAGAAAAATCAAGAGATTTTAATAAATTATATCAATACAAGGAGAAAATAGGATCGAAAAGAAACATCTATTGATAAGATTTTTGCATATAATATTGCAATTGATATTATGGATGAAAATAAGAATCCCGAGTCTAAATTATTGAAGAGTGTCAACCTAAAGATGATTTGCCTAAATGAAAAGAGCAATCTAGGTAGAATTATATTCTCTTATAAAAGAGTAGTTTTTTGAACCCATAGCTAAAACACCTGAAGATGTTAAGCTAGTAGAATACAAATATGTATTTATGCGAAAATGAAATAAGAAAGATGAGATTATAAGATACAAAGCAAAACTTTTAGCACAAAAGTTTTCGTAAAAAATTGACATTGACTATGAGGAAACATATTCTCCTATAGTGGATGCAATTGTCTTTTGTTATCTCATTGGCATGGAAAAATATATGAAAAACATTCATATGTATGTATTTAATGAATGTGATCACGGTTTATTTGTTCATTTGAAATTATATCGGTATGAAAGTCTTAGAAGGACTTAACATGCTAGAAGCGTGTAATACATACTTTCGAGAAAAGAATTCAATTAAATTATAGAGATCTCTATTATGATTATTTTAGTATTTTTTTTATTATTTTGGTTTTTAGAAATTCAATTTATACTTTTTATATTTTATTTTTATATCTACTATTTATTACTAACCCGTGTGCAAGTAATATAATCACTTCAATAATTATTGAAAGAAAGTTATAAAAAAAACATTATTTGTTCATATATTTTTATTTGAAAAGGGGTTTGTTATATATGTTGATAACTTAAATATTATTGGAACTCCCGAAGAGATTCCAAATGTCATAAGTTATCTAAAAAGAGAATTTGATGTGAATACCTTGGAAAAAAATGTTATCTTGACCTGCAGTTCGAGCACTCGGAGAATGAGACTTTTATTCATCGATCAATTTGTATAGAAAAAAGTTTTACAATGATTCTATATAAAGATCATTCATTGACTAGCCCAATGATAATTCATTCACTTGATATAAAACAAGATCCTTTTTGACCTCGAGAAGATAACGAAGATCTACTTGGTCCCGAAGTACCATGTCTCGGTGCCACCGATGCATTGATATATCTTGCTAATAATACTTGACTTGATATAGTTTTTTCTATAAATTTATTAGCAAGTCGTAGTTTTGTTTCAATACGGAGATATTGAAATAAAGTTAAATAGATACTATGTTATCTTCGAGGAATAATTGATATGGGCTTATATTACTCCAACAAATCAAAGATTGGATTAATTGGTTATGCAAATGCGAGTTATTTATCCGATCTACACAAAGCTCGATCACAATCGGTTATATATTTGCATATGAAGATCCAACTATATCTTTGTGTTCTATAAAGCAAACTATAGCCGCCAAATCTTCAAATCATGCGTAAATATCAATTCACGAGGCAAATCGAGAATGTATTTAACTAAGATCAACGATTCATCGTATCCGAGAGAAATATAGTTTATCTACCAAGAAAAGAAGTTTCAATAATATCATATGAGGATAATGTCGCTTGCATAATTCTATTGAAGGAAGAATACATCAAAGTGACAATCCAAGTAGATTTATTCGCTAAAGCATTACCTACCACAACTTTTAAGTAGATGATTCACAAGATTGAAATGCGTCGTCTTAGAGATCTTAAATAATGCCTTTAACAAGGGGCGACCAAAATGAGGATTAATGTGTACAAGGAATATTGTACTCTTTTTCCTTTATTAGGATTTTTTTTCCACTTGGTTTTTCCTATTTAGGTTTTAACGAGGCATTTTTTTGTACAATAGACATTCAAGGGAGAGTGTTATGAAATAATGAATATCCATCATCATGTTCATCCACTTTTCATATCCCTACTACTCATGATTCTTAATATGATTCAATTCATCATTCAATATGAGAAATTGAAAGAGTGACACAATTGATTATTCATAGTTCCTTCTAATTCTCTTCTCAATTTTGAAGCCTATAAATAAGTTTGATTGTTCATTAGTTGATGTACAAGTTTTCTAAAGAGAATAAGAGAAACTTTGAAGTTCTTATCACTTGTATTCACATTATAATGATTTTATTTTCTTGTTATCCTTTTCTTCGATTCTCCTATTATTTCTATTTATTTTATAACAAACATTTATTTGTTTGAATTTTCTTTTGAAAAATAGCAAAATTAACCAACCAATTATACAAATTTTTTTTAAAAAAAACCATTTTGTTTAATTTTGAAAATTTTGATAATTGGTTATGGTCCTTTTACGTCTTTTAACAAAAAAAAAGGAGAAAAAAAAGATTTCAATTTTTGTTTTATTAAAGAGACGAATACAAAGATAAATTAACATTCAAATCCACCAAAAATAATAAAAATACTTTCATCTAAATTCAAATAATAATAATAATTTTTTTTATATATTTCTCTCTCTTCCTAGTCTCTATCTCATTAAAATTAATCTAGAAGTATTGTCATCTCAAAATAGATGACTCTTCTTTTAGTTCTTCCTTCACGCTATCAGCAAATACCAATAAGAATGCAATGATAATAGCTGCTGCAACTAGAGAGCCTCCTCTATGAGTTTTTTAGTGAGAGCTTTGGGGAGTCCCATGACGCTATCGGTTGTCCCCACCTGCACAAAATACCAAAAAAATGATGCATGATATGTCGATGAAAGACGCAATATCAGTTATCCAGGTCCGTAATTATCCAGCTAATAGCTTGTAGTCTTAGGTAACTATACGTATTCAGCCTGGGAGAGAGGACAACCTAATACAAACCCATTTCTTACTTTGACTACATGATATATGCATCCATTATTTTACTCTAATTGCATGTTTTGTCAAATGCATCATGTCTGGTTATCTAGGCTGTAAGGAATGCATCCAAATAGATAACTCACATAAATGTCATACCAGAACTACCTCCACCACTTAATGAAATTACTAGCTCTGGACATTATAGTTCTTGCTTGTCCCAGCTTCAAATGTTCCACAATATGCACTATTTGTCTTATTACGTGTTGGATAAGTAATAGAAAACCCACCACTTCTTTAATATAGGGCAATACCAGAGGATGCTCAATTATTAAGCCCCCAGCAACTCTGAGCACAATTCCCTCTTCAATCTGTGCAAGGAAAGAAAGAAAACAAAAGGAAATAAATATAGCTTGCCGTTTCCATCAATGATGTCAATTTGCAATGCAAATGAGTTTTACCAGCTTCTCGGTGACTTCATCTGGTATTTCATGGAAATAGATCTGTAGGACATCAGAACCTAACAGTTAGTTATTGGTAGAGATCATCAGGTTAGAGAAACTACTACAGTTTTTCATCATTATGGATCTCTCTAATCACTATATGTGTTCTGTTATTAGAATTAGCATGGCAACCATTCAAGTTGTTCTAAGCAGAAAAGATTGACCACTATTAATTAAAAAACAAAAAAAAAGACGAAGCAAATAGTACCTCCACTCTGTCCCATTCTCCTTTCCTGAATCCAGTTTTAAGATTTGTCACAAGAACAGATCCCACAGTTGCTGCATGCCCCCCAGAATAGCCTGCACTCCAAGTAGATAAATAAAACAACGGAAAAGTAAACAACATGGAATGAGAGTATAAAGAATGTTAGCAAACCTTTTAAGAATTCCCGTGCTTCTTCCTTGCTGGATGGCTTTTCCCTAATTGCACCTTCATAGACTACCACCTTCAAATAGATGACAATAGCAGTAAGAAATAACAGAACATATATATTTACATGCAATGAAAGATCCTGATGATTTCTATCTTCAAGCATGCATGCAAAACTTATCACCAGAAGCCATTTATGCTCGAGGATACAAATTGCAAACCAGTTTGTGGATGGAGGAGGAGGAATGGGGTGGGAGTAGGAGGAGAGATAGCCCTCTCCCCTGAGCAGGAGGAACTCAACCATCTTTTTATAGAGCAATGGCCTCTAAAATACATCACTAGTATAAATATAGAATCTCTCATCCGATTTCCAATTTATAAAACCAAACAACTTGTGTACTGCAAAGAATATTCATTTAACACCAAAAGGTTAGCTATCAATTATAGGGAATTAGCCTTAGTATAGTTTTCTACTAAATTTGCCAGCACGTTTTATTCCAATAAGCTCACATATTAGAAAATACTTGTCCCACCTACAGACAGTTCACAACAAATAATTATCACTTATAACTTTATAGTTTTCCTTTCTTTCTTGAGTTTTGCTTAGGGATAGGAAGAGGAAGAGTCTGGAAATAATATATCATGGTCTTTTCTTTATAAGGCTGACATGTATGCCAAAAACATTAAACACAAATGAATAAATCAGGAAGAAAAGTATATCAACGTATACTTGATCTGCAGTAATTAACAATGTTGGCTCGGCATCCTTAGTGTAGTCACTGATTGGGAGCTTTTGCAAGATAGTGTCAGCCTGAGAGGAAATTTTTACCAGCTAATGTAAGCACCCAAGTCCAAGTTCTCAATTAAGCCAAAAGTATTGAGGCAACAACAATAGGAAGAAGGATGACAAGGTAAATAATGTCATATTACCAACAGTATTATTGACAAAAATGGTACAGACAAAAATACTGAAAAAAAAAAAAAAACAGAATAAATCATGTAGTAGCCAGTAGCCTAGGAAGCAGGATTGGGAAGACACGAGGGCTATCATAGTATCCAATACAACTATGTGATGGCAACGGTGGAACATTACAAACATAGGCATACATTTGACGATTTTCTTACCATTATCTAGCATCCACCCTCGGGAACAAATAACTTCCAATTAATTAGTTATATGTGTCATGTTAATGCAAAGTTCTACCGAAGCTGGCTCACCAGCCTTAAGTAGAAATAAGACCACTTACACCAAAACCTTTCCTATCAAAGCTGTTGAATTTGCCACAGCCCTGATACCACTTGTTGAATTTGCACAGCTTTGATATCAATTGTTGAACAAAACAAGATGAGCTAATAATCAAAATAAAAAAAAAAAAACTTTCTATTTATTATGAAAGGACAACATACAAATGCTCACACAATTCTCTCACACCTAGAGCATACAACTCTCTCACTCACTTAGTTTTCTAGTGCACACAGCACATGAGCACTAAGCTATCTCTCTACAATTCACCACTCATTTTTTGGGTTGTCAAGAATGGGAGAAGAGCTACTTGTTTATGCTAGTTGGATAGCAGGTAGGACAAATGAAAGATTGGTACAAATGCGAATTCATGAATGAAAATCATGTTATATGTGAAACGAATAAACCTAAGGTATGCTAGGTGTAAACACAATAATCCTCATATGTGCTAGATATAAAACCAATAAATGTAGGGTGAGCTAAATATGAGCATACTTAATGATGGACAAACACACAATTGTGACTTGTTTGAGTCACATGTTTATATTCAACACTCTCCCTCAACTTACTTCATCTTTTGACAGATTCTGCAATCTGTCATTCACAATATCTTTTAGTGAACATATCATCTCCTTAACTTTTCATGCCAATTTTTCGTGTGAAAAAGCATCCTTCATATTATTTTTTCACAACTTCCAACACTTACTTTCTTCAAGTAATAATAATATCCATATGTCTATAATCATTGTCACTAAGCGAAATTTCATAGCATCATATGTCTCATACATCTGCAAGATTCTTACGCTTGTTTGACGAGCCTCATATTTCTCAATCAACCCATCCGGTGATTCTTTAACCTTGTCAACCCAATTGCAATTTTCTTCGAATTTCTTTGCTAACTCCTTAATCTCATTCTACTTCAAAATAAGATTTTGGCCAGTTGACATTCCTCAATGTCTCTTCATATCTCATTGGCTCCAACACTTACTTTTCTTCAACTAACACTTGTGATTGTAGAGAATCTTCCTCATAAAGCGGAATCTCTTCTCGAACTTTACAATGCACATTAGTTTGTAAAGAGCCCTCTTCTTCCAACTCTTCCTCACTAGTTGGACTTATATACTTCTTCATCACCTCAAAATCAAATGATTTACTATCCATCAAATCTTCATCTTCACCAAACCACTCAACTTCTTCCATTGCCTTTATTTATGTCAATCTAAGAATTTTTGGCGACCACTATGATGATGCTTGTTCATCCACTATTGCCATTAATGTAAACGACTCCTCCATGTCCCACTCTTCTTCACAATCATCTTCTTCATGACTCACTGCACATTCCAAATCCCACTCTTCTTCACTATTATATTCATCATGACTTCTTGAAGCTGCAACATTTCCTTCAACCAACGTCCTATAGAATTGACAGTTTCGTGCTATATAGCCTTTCTTGCCACAATTATAGCACTTAATATTTTTTCGTCAATATCTTCCATGTTGTTGGGCTCCCCCTAAATCTAGACTTAGTGCCACAGAGGAGGCATTATTCAAGCTTAGTGCTCATGTGTTGTGTGCACTAGAAAAATAAATGCTTGAGAGAGTTGTGTGCTCCAAGTGTGAGAGAAAATTGTGTGAGCTTTGTGTTAGCATTTGTATGTTGTCCTTTTATAATAAATAGAAAGTGTGTTTATTTTGATTGTTAGCCCATTTTGTTTTGTTCAACAATTGACATTAGAGCTGCACTAAACTCAACAAATGGTATCTGAGCCTAACAGTCAGGAGGGACTTGTTAGAGCTTGACGATCAAGAGGGATGCGTAAGAGTAGGTGGTCAAGCACTATTGTTTATGCAAATTATTTTTGCTTGTTCACAGTCAGGGATTGTGAAGTTTATTAGTGAGCAACCAAGATTCTGCGAGGAGGAGATCACATGCATCTACAATCAGGGGTTGTAGAGTTATTGGTCTAGGATCAAGCTTGGTGATTTGTGAGGAGACAACACCAATGACGGATCTTAATTCAGCAGGAAGCATTAGAAAACTGCACAACAAAAATTATAGCATATGGTAGACATGCATAAAGAAGAGAACTCTTTGCAAACTAATGTGAATTGTAAAGCTCGGGAAGGTATTCCGCTTTATGAAGAGTGTCAAGTGCTAGAAGTAATAGTAGGAAAAAAAATTTCATTTTGAAGCAGAATGAGACTAAAGAGTTAGCAAAGAAATCCAAGGATATTTGCAATTGGGTTTGCAAGGTTAAAAACCATCGGACAAGTTGATTGAAAAATATAAAGCTCGTCAAGTAAGCATAAAATCTTGCGGATGAGATATATGATGCTATGAAGTTTAGCTTAGTGGCAATGATTATAGACGTATAAATATTGCTATTACTTGTCGCAAACAAGTTTGAAAGTTATGAAAAAGGAATGTGAAGGATGTTGTTCCATATGAAAGATTGACACAAAAAGTTAAGTGAATGATATGTTCACTAAAAGATATTATGGATGACATATTACGGAATTTGTCAAAAAGATGAAGTAAGGTGAGTCAATGTTGAGGGGAGTTTTGAATATCAACATGTGATTCAAACAAGTGACAATTGTTGGCTAAACAATTATATGGTTGTCCATCATTAAATGTGTTCATGTTTAGCCCACCCTACATTTATTGATTTCACGTCTAGCACACATTAGGATTATTATGTTTACACCTAGCACACTATAGGTTTATTGATTTCACATGTAGCATGATTTTCATTTATGCATTCACATTTGTACCAATCTTTCGTTTGTTCTACATGCTACCCAACTAGTATAAATAGGGAGCTCTTCTCCCATTCTTAGCATCCCAAAAAATGAGTCGTTAATTGTTGTTAGAAAGCTTAGTACTTATGTATTGTGTGCACTAGAAAACTAAGTGAGTGAGAGAGCTGTGTGCTCCAAGTGTGAGAGACAATTGTGTGAGCATTTGTATGTTCTTTCATAATAAATTAAAAGTGTTTTTATTTTTGTGGTTAGCTTATCTTGTTTTGTTCAACAATTGATATTAGAGCTGCGCATAAGCACTCATCTCCCATTTACTGCAAAACCAAGTGCAGTATCTAAAAGTTTACAATTTCTCTGTATCCTCAAGCATATGGCACCAGCCTCAACCCAATGCACCTGAAAGATCTAGAAACAGGGGAAAAAAAAAAAAAAGCAAAAACAAAAACAAAAACAAAACATACAGTATCGGCGGCAACCAAAATAGTGGGTTCCTCATCCGTCTCTGGTTGATTATTCACAGTGGTATTTTGTAAATTTGCTATAATAGCATCAGCCTGAGATGCAGTTCACATTCATCAATCACTCCATCAAATTATTCTTAAACCAAACTTCCACTCCAGTTTATGATGTTACAAAACCATAACAAAAAACAGTAAATAGCTATAACAACATTAATTTCAAGATTACCTTAGCCTCAGCAAGAGTCATTACCAAATCTTCTGGTTTTTCTTCGCGAATGCTCTTTTCATCAATATCTGCTGTCTACGAAAACAATTTGCAATTTTTAACTTTAACTGCTGAAAATAAATTTTGCTAAATAAAAATATATGACTGGAAGTTCATTAAAAGAATTTACAGCGATTTTGAATTCATATCCCATCTCTTCTAATATTTTCCTTCGTGAAAATGAAGCCGAGCCCAATATTAACTGCAAAATAATAATAATAATAATAATAATAATAATAATAATTCGAAAGAAAGTGTCAGTAGACATGTTTCTAGAATAAACCCTAAATATTCCGTAAGGAAAATTATGAGTTTAATGGAGATTGTTTTTATTACCTTGAAAGGAAGAATTGCATTCATTTTTCCGCAGAAGCTGGAGAGAGCTGAGAGCAGGAGTGTGAGGGAAGAGACAGAAAAGTCAGGCAGTACGCACCCAGCAACAGGAGAGGAGGGGTAATAATTCAATGGGTAAGCAATACAGCAATAGGGCTTTTAGCGTTAATGGGCCGAGGGTTTTTTACGAGTTGGATGGTAAGTGAACAAAATCTGGCCCAGGCCTATTAAAAGATAAGCCTTTAAATTTGGAAATCTAATTTCCAAAGAACTACCACAACTGTTGAATACCGAACCTCTTTTTTCTTAATGAATTATCGTGATTTTAAATCACATTTCAAATTTTTTTATTAACTAAGGTTAATAGATTTTGAGTTGCACAAACAATGAGACGGGGTCACTTTTCATCACGATAATCATTATTTTCATCCCATTTTCTTACAAACAGAAGGTCGGATTTATATTTTTCTTCGTAATTAATATCATAGATTATGTTGTAAAATTTAAATTATTAAATTCAAATTAAATATTACAAGAAGAGGCTTCAGGTTGGATTTTTTTAAAGGAGAGTAAACCCTGTCCAAAATGACTAGCTTCAGCAAAATAAGTTTCAGTCGCTTAAATAAATTATATCGATTTCTAATTTTTATATATACAAAAAATTCTTTAGATAATTATATCCTTTTTATGTGTCCAATTAAACAACGGGATATTATTTTGGATTTTTTTTAACTTGGAATAACATAGAGATCCAAGAAAAAAAACCTCAACTTCTAAATATTTTTTTAAAAAAATAATAACTAGCACTTGTAGCTAATTCTGTGTTTGCATGTCTTTCAATTTATAGAAAATAAATTTATTATTTGAAAATATTTAGTAAATTCATTAAAATAAAAATTTCCCATTTATATATGTTATTATTATTATTATTATTATTATTATTAACTCACACATTCAAAATTCCTAACAAAATTAGTTTGTTAAGATTTGAATTCGTGATCTCTTGTTACAAGAGATCACTATTAGTGGATTAAAAGTTCTTTGGTGGTTATGATTATTTGTTGGCTGTGGAAACCTATTTTTAATTTGATTAGGAGTATTTTAATTTATTAAAGTTACAGTGAAATTGGAAACAGAATAATAGTCAGCTAGAGGTTTTGGACTTTAATGTGTAATTTTAGATAGATATATTGAACATTTTAAAAAAAGAAAAAAGAAATCAAAATCAAATGGTAATCAACTAATTCTCGACAAAAAATATCTATAAAGTTAATAAAAAAATTGAATGCTCATGTTACTAAAACGTTATATATTATATAATTAATTTTATCACTTTCATAAATATTATTAGATCCATTATGTATCATATGTCAATTCAAATTAATGAATTTAAATATTTTATATGATTAATACTATTTGTTCAACAAGTTCATCAATTGTTTGACACAGATTGATTTTCGGTGATGATAAATTGACATAATTGCAGGTCCAGTAGCTCATTCAACCATTGCGAACTATTAGGAGTTGTTATTAATAATGGGATAAATTACAAAAGAATCTCCTAAAGTATTATAAAATTTCACAGACAATCTAAAAGTTAAATTGTTTTTATTACTCTCAATGATTTAAATATTATTTCTATTACCTATGGAAAATTTATGTATCCTACTACGTATATATACAAAGAGACAATGCAACAAATCTAACTAATTAAAAGATTAATTGTGATTTCGATTGCATATCATTTTGTTAATATTTTTAAGGATGTTTTTTAGAATACAATGGCACTATATATGAAACACATTTTGCTTATGCAAAGTAAATTGGAATTTTATGAATTTATTCCTCTAAAAAATTAACCTTTCTTGGTTATAATATAGGTCAAATATTAATTAATAGTTATGCATGGGGTCGAGGAAAAAAAAGAAAAAAAAAGCACATTATTTCTCATGCATAGTAAGTATCGGTAAAAGAAAAAAAAATTCCAATAGAAGTAAATTTTGTCTATCAAGATTCCTTTTTTATTGTACCTAAGAACTTAAGAATTTAGAGTTTTAGAATCTTTGCTTAGATAGTTTTGTTGAGATTTAAGTGAGTACTAATTTGAGTTTAAAAAATACCTCATTAATATTTCATAACACAAATTTCACTAAATAGCGATGGATTTTTCCATCGCTATATGAAATTAACGATGGATTAGAGACAACATGCAATCCGTTGCTAAAATGGTGGTTGCTATTTTTTTGGCGATCAAGTTTTTTTACCACCACTAATTAGTAACCAAATATCCATCGCTATTTTGTTGAATTTTTGTCAATAAGTCAATTTAAATCGGTCATCCGTGATGTCTCATTTTCATCATTAACGTCAGTATTTCCATTGACATCCGTCGCTAAAGAGTAAAAGAATGTGTTGTCACTAAATTTTAGTTGCTAATATCCTCACGTCGCTAGTTCGCTATTTAGCGACTATATATGCATCCGTCGTAATTTTTTTAATCAATTGTCGTTTATTAGTAATTGTAACAACAAATAAATATAAATAACATCTTTATTAAAAAATGCTATATTATTAAATAAAATTAAAATTGTATAAATTAAATTAAAATAAATATATAAATGTGTTAAGATGTGTACAAATATTAAAAACTTTTTTTCAACAAAATAAGAAATTTAGTCCTCATTATCATCATTTTTTGCATCATCTTTCATTGCTTGGTTATTGAGAGGAACAACTAACTACTGGGTTGTGGGAGGGTCATTAGGAAGGACGAGAGGCGGCTCGAGGTTCTCTAACAACCTCATAACTCTTTGCAACCGAGTCCGCAAGTTGCTAAATTGACTGGCATATTGTTGGATGATAGCCTCTATTCCCTTGATCGGATCTTCATACTAGGTAGAAACCTCCTGGATATTATCATTAGGATATTATGAAGTGATAGAGGAGGAGTTAGCGTCGAATACAAGTAACATTGGGATACATAAGTTTTGATGTTGTACACTCTCCGCTTCTTCTCTCCTCCGATAGCATTCGAATATATTTTGGGCATGTTGATATTTTAAGACGATGGATCACTATCTTGTCATTCTTTAGTAGTTGCTTCTTGCATTGAATAACACGTGACTCTTAAGTCATTGAAATAATAACATTATTAAATCATAGATATATTTTTTTAGATTATATTGGTAGATGTACATATATTTAAAAATAATATATAAAATCTTATCATTATTATTTGCGACCGCATATCGACGAATGTCTCATCCTCTCGTATATGAGTGGTCATGAACGACTTGTAAGGATTTAGGTTATGACCTAATTTATGATGCTAAAAAAAATAAACAAAATAATATGAGATGAAATAAATGCAAAAATTAATTTATAACACAATAGAATAATATATTATTTACCAAATACTAAATGTGCTCGATCAAAGATGGACCCTTCGGTATACTTGGATGGGCTAGCACTGACACCACTCGTCTCCACCATGCGGTTTTAAGACACTTGCCGAGATACGACATGATACTCGAGCGTGGTCCAATCCCGATGTCATGCTGTCCCACACTTCCCGTTTAACATACAAAGATATATTATTCTTATCTTTCAACTTGTTGAGCATGTTGCTCGTATCGTCTCCGTGTCACACTCTTCCATGCATCCTTAATCGGTGCGTTGAAGATCGCATCTCACAAAAAGTACCTCTACGTGAAGAAAAAAAATAATACTAGTACTTTTCATGTTAAATTAATACTTTAAATGAATATAAGTAAATAATTAATATGTTACCTTAAATTCATTGAAGTAGAAATCTTTCATCTCCATGGAGACAAACTTTCATACGGAGCTAGCGACGTCTAACCATTTCTTAAAAATTTTGATGATTTTTGTGAAGCACTTACTTGATGGAACCAAACTATCGAACAATACAAATAAATAATAAATAAATGAATTAATGATTTCAATATAATACATGAAAATATAAAACTAATTATCACATGTAAAATATATTACTCATCGGTTATTCATGATCCGAAAGGTCCGTCCATCATTAGATTCTATAGAACTTTTTGGAGTTGAGAAAATTATAATGGGATCATCCATAATAGGAGGCACTATTGGCGAGGCACTACTGAAGGGAATGAAGAAGTACCGGTACCACTATCAAGTATGTGGCTGCGAACAATTGAACTAGCGAGTGCCACGTCCATATACACCACCACTATCGATCACATGGTCAACATCGGAATCACAATCACTAACACCATGGCTAGATTTGCCCAATCCACGAGGCATGACTCAAGAGTAGCACTTGAAACAATTTAACAAATGAATAACAATTCAAAAGAAAATATATTAGAAATTATTATGAATTAAAACAAACAAAATTCAACATGTCCAAAGTACATAACAAACATAAAAAAAAAAGTGCATATAAGATAAAATGATATAATTTAATGAACACAACACATAAAATTAATCTTTAATTACAACTGTCATCATATAAATTAAATCTCAAACTATTCCTCTCGACTTTATGATAGAGTATTGAACTGATCTTATTTCTCTTCAACAAGGGTCTATTGACTCTTCGGTTTCGATGCATTACGACGTATCTCGACACATTTTAGTAATTAGATATGAAATAACTTAAACTAATTAATTCTAAATCTAACATAATTTAACATTTTTAACATAAATAAAATTTTAATTCAACCAATTAAAAAAATTACCTAATTAATTAATTTAATATAAATCTAATTAACTTAATTAATTCTAATTCTAACCAAATTAAATTTAAAATAACAAACAATTAAAATTTCTAATATAAATAGAGTTTTAATTCAACTAATTAATCAAAATTAACCTAATTAATTAATTAATTAATTAAAAATAAAATTAACTTAATTAATTCTAATTCTAATTAAATTAAATTTTGTATAACAATTAATTAAAAATTTCTAATATAAATAAAATTTTAATTCAACTAATTTAAAATAATAATAATTAATTAAATAGAAATAAAATAAAGTTAATTAATTCTTATTCTAACCAAATTAAATTTTATATAACCATTAAGTAACAATTTCTAATATAAATAAAGTTTTAATTCAACCTAATTAATTAATTAATTATAAATCTAATTACCATAATTAACTCTTATTCTAACCAAATTAAATTCCAATTAATAATTATTAACAATTTCTCATATAAATAAACTTATGATTCAACTAATTAAAAATAATTAACCAAATTAATTAATTAATTATAAATATAATTAACTTAATTAATTATAATCGTGAAAAATTAAATTTAAAATAAAAATTAAATTACCTTAATTAAGAAAAATTAATTAATTAATTAACAAATTTAGTCTAATTCAACTAAATAAACATATAATTAACATAATTGATTAATTAAGTGTAAATAAAATTAACTTAATTAATTAAAAACAATTTTGATTAAATTTCAATTACAATTAATTGACTAATTGACCTAACAATTAACAAAATTTAACAAATAAACAGTTTAATCAACTAATTAACTTAACAATTAACAAAAATTAACAATTTAAAAAATAAATCACCAAAATAACAATTATATATATATATACAAGTCATAAACTAAGCAATTAAACTTAAATTAACCTAACAATTACAAAAAAATTACTAAATTTAATTAAGAAAATAAAAGTGAGACAAACATATCTAATTCGAGTGGAATTACACCAAGAGGAGGGGAGGAAAAAAAATGAGGGTTTTTTTAAGAGAAAAACCTTGGAGTGGGTGTGGATTTATTGAGAGTCGAGGAGTGAAGTTTGATAGTGGTTTGGAAGGGGTGAGAGAATGGCAACAATGGTCGGATTCGGAGAGGAAGAAGAAAATGGGAGAAGAAGAAGAAGAAGAAGGGGGTTAAATTAGGTCCGAAAAATAGCGACGGATGCAATCCCATCCTTAATCCATCGCTCGCATACGTCACTACTTAGTGACGGATACTTACGTTCATCGCTAATTCATGTCAAAATAGGTGTCAATTTTGCAAAGTCGGCCATCCATTTTTTTGCATTTAGCGATGGATGTAAGTGTATGTCACTAATTCGCTAAATTTCAAGGGATGGTCATTTAGTGACGGATATTCCGTGCTATATCCGACATTTAAAATAATGACAAACTTGTTATTCAATCGTTATTTTTCTTAACAAATCCGTCGCTAAACTATCTCAAAAACTTGTGAGAAGATTTTATCGTTAAAATTTAGCGACGATTTGTGTTTGTCACTATTCCATCTCTAGTCCGTCACTAAATTATATAGTCACTATTCTATCACTATTTGCTTTCTATTTATTGACGGATGTTCATCCGTCATTAAATTCTATTGCTATTTAGCGAATTTCCGGTAGTGTTTTAGTTTTTTCTTTCATTATTAATACTTGAGGAAAATCAAGAAATTATGAGAATCTTTTTGCATTTTTCCATCAATTTTTCAATGAAACCTTATTAGATGCATTCAGAATATCATATTATTTAGAGTGTGCAACAAAGATTTTAATTCTTGTTTAAAGGTTGGTTTTTTATTTTTTATTTTCTTTCACCATTTGGCCAGAAATTAGTTTGAAACGATGGAATGTGTAGGCCCAAGTCATATATATGATGTATTCAAATCCATTTAATCACTTAACAAACATATTATCATCAACTTAATTAATTGGGTAAATTTCAATTTGTCATTTTGAGGTTTATAACTGTTCTTAATTTCATTGAAAACCTTTGATTTGTTTCAATTAGACCTTGTATCTTTCATTTTTGTTCCACTTTATATAAATTTTAGTTTTATCTCTAAAATTTATGAAATATCTGAATATGACCTTAAAAGTAAGATCTGAAACAATTGAAATTGATAAAATCATTAAAGAAAAAAAAATTTAATTCAACAAATAATTTTATTTATTTATTTTATTATTATATATTATTATTTTTATCAATATTATCTAACAGTTCTGTGACAATACAAAAATAAAATTAAGATAAAATATATGATAACTTTTTTTTAATAAAAAGGTATTGGTCTCTACTATCGCTGCCTGTCATAGACTCTCTCACTAGCAGATCACACGTTTTTCATCCAAGTTTTCATTAAAACCTTGAACAAAAATTTTGAAAAAAATAAAATAAAATTGAATTTTTATATGAATAGAATGGTAGCTTGAGTATAGAACAACTTTGACATCACCTAGAACTTAATTATTTCAAAGAAATGAGATATGATAGCTAAGAGGGATTAGAATGGTAAAGATTTTGATGGAAAAAAAAAGATAAATTAATTTGAATCTTGATTTTATTTAACTATGGTATTGACTAGGAAAAAAAATGATATTTTTAAATGATAATTAAAACTCGTAGGATTTAACTATGGAATTGAAATTTACCTGAGTTGATTTATACTTTTGTACTTAATTGTGCCTTTTAAAAACGTTGGCAGCCTTAACTGTTAAAAATTAAAAATGGAACACTCGATTGTGAATACGTAAGAGTTCAGGTCTGTTTTTTCCCACCATATATATATTTATATAACTTAATTTTTGCCCTAATCAATTTCTTGATATTACACTTCTATCCCATAATTTAAAATTACTTTATGTAACCCATGTAATTTTCCCATGTTTTTATAAGAATCATAACACCTATGGGATTTGAAAGGAAAAAGTCGACAAATTTTTTTTATAAAAAAAAAACTAAAATAAGTTTATGAAAAAAGCGATTTTTATTAGTTGTTTAGTAGTAAATGAAAAACTTGGAAATTCGTGAAACCATTGGGAAATTTTACATTATAGGGATAGAAGTGAAACGTTGATGACTTTATAAGGATAAGAGTATTGTTTACTCTATATATTGGCATGGTTTTCATTGTTTTTCTGATCCTCTCTTCTCATCTTAACCTGAAACTTTATTTTTTGAGCTCGATCAAAATAAAACAGAAACTAATAACATTATGAGAATCCATTACACTCAAGGGCAAATATTGGATACAGTTGCGGCCACCAATATAATGACTCAACCAACTTGGTACATGTTTAAAAGCAGAAAAGGAAAAGATAAGTAAACGGATCGCTAAATAAAGGGAGAGAATCCCATTTTCCATACTAGCTAGTTCTACTAATGCCTATAATTCATTTATAGCAGATTAATGGGTCTTTATCCTCCAGCTTTGTTCATTCTTCAGTGGAGACTAAGACTCTTCATCCTGCATGTAATTAACAAAGAGATTAGTCATGGACAGATGAGAACCTTAATTATTACTAAATGGTACACATTATCCACAAAATTAATACTTTATTGGTGGGCAGTGCAGAATCATCAGTACATTCCAATATTTCAAGTTCTCTCATTCTTGTCTTATACAGTAATTAAATTCTTTAGACAATGGAGTATTATGTTGATTGTACCTTTGTTCTTCATCAATGCAATTGCAGCTTTTGTTGCTAGCTCCAGCCCTTCTGTAGTTGGGCAAAGGGATTCCTCCAGCTTCAATCTGCTGGACATCATCAACAAGCAGCTGATAATGCATCTTCACTTCCTCCACTGTTTTGCCTCCAACAGCCCTGGCAAGATTGTGCCAGCGATCAGGAGAATCTTGATCGAAGATGGCCAAGGCATTTTCAAACAGTTTGTTTTGCTTCGGAGTCCAGTTATTAGAACTTGAAGCCATGAAGAAAGTAAATGATATAGAGAGTTAGAGATATATATGAAACTGTTTAATTTAGAGAATAAGTGAAGGTGGAGTTTGAGTAATAGGGTGCTAGGTGCAGGTCTTTATATAGGAGGTGGGTTGGGAAAAAAAGTGTTAAATTAATTGTGGTGGGCTAAGCTGTTGCTTTTCTTGCAAAATCAGTGGACCTGAGTGGTTTTACTTTGCTTGTCTTTGCTGAGAAATACTTTGGCTCCTAAGGAACTTGCCCTAATGCCTAGTGGCCAAATACTGGCCAATCCTACCCATGTTTAACATATTTGCACATTTGATAATGCAGGCTGCATGGTGTGACCCACTTACGAAATGACATAAGTAATTGGTTTATATATATGAGATGCATGTTCGATCTGTGAGCAGCAGCTTGCTCCACATTACTCAGTTATAATTGGTTTATATCAGAAGGGTTTTTTTAACAGCTAGTGAAACCTTAAATCTTAAATTTAGGCCTAATACATGTTCCTGTTTTTGGATTGAAATTTTTTCTCAAATCAAACAATATATGGGAAGAATACTATACATTTTTTTTTCTTTCGTTTTTTCATGAACCCAAAAACTTTATCAGGCTACATTTCCAGAACCACAAGTCTAAAGAGCTAGCTAGTAGTTCTATTTCTAACATGGTTATAACGCAAGGATTTCTTCTCTTTTTTCTTGGTGAAAGGCTCTCTCTTTATTTTTAGTTTGTCTTTATTTTTTTTTTTTTTGGTTCTAATTATTATCAGATTTTCAAGCTTTCTTTCGTACGCAAACCGAATCTTTTTTTCATTAAATCATAATCAGATTATGAGAAATTGTTTTTCTTTAAGACCTTCTGTATTATTCAAATCCTTAAATGATGACGCAAGGAGCAAATTTATTTATTTAAGCTCAACAAAGCATATAGGTTGCATCGCAACGCAGGAATATTAGAATCTGGTAAGTCGAGAATAACCCAGTGGGATATTATACCTTAGGATTCTCGGGTGGACCATATAGCCCAGTAAAATCTTTACGCTGAGAGTGCTGTCGAGCTGTATATTTGCTTTATAGCTAGTTAGGCAAAGCCAGGCATTTTCTTTGTTGTGTCAAACTAAAATCAATCTCGAACAGGACAGTGGCTGCACCACCTGCTTGTACTTTACTTTCATCTGAACTATGTTCCAAAATATGTTTAGCTGGCTACAAGATTTCTCCAAACAACTTTATGCTTTTAACTTGCATTCATATCTTTAACCAGGTACAACTTCGCTGTCTGCTGTGACAATTTTCAGGTTACATATGCTCTATTTATGTATGTAAAACAAAGATCATTAGGTGTATATGATGAGTTCGAACTTAATCTCCAAGGATGAAGTGGCCTTTGTCACGGTTGAGAAAAGAAGATGGTTGTTAGAGTACGGTGATTGTGATGGCTGGATTTATTGGTACGCTTCTAAAACAAGGGTTATCCAAAGGATTACGAGAATTATATGTTAAGGTGTGAAAACTGATATGAATGTATTTTGTAGTTTAACGTGCTATGCACACAATATAATTGCTGAATAGGCTCATTAGGTTTTTTTTTTTTTTTTTGTTACAATCTTAGTTCTCCACATTATAAATAAAAATAATATCTCTTGTATTTGTAAACTGCCACTTGATAAAATGATAATAAGAAATCTTAGTGCGGTCGTGCAATAGACACAATTGCGGAACTATGTAAATCTTTGTATTATGTGATTATTTTTGTTTTTCTATTGTATTTTTCTTACTTGATTCGTTTCCTAACATTACATACCTTCTCATTGATGATGAGTATTGATGTATACATACAATTTGGATAACCTAATTTCTTATAATTAGATAAATGAAAAATCCTATATATATACAATTAAGAAATTATAGTTGCATGATCTCCTATAATCAAGGTATTGTACATCAAAGAATTTACAACTACATAATCTTCTATAATTAAGGCATAGTCAACTTCTATCTCTATCATACCTTCTCGAGATAGAGCTCTACAAGAAGAGTCCAATCTTGTCCCACGAGAGAGAAATCTTGTGTATGGTAGTGGTTAGTGAGGGCATCTGCTAGTTGATTAGTTGAGGAGACATATGCAACACGAAGAGCCCTAGTTTGAACTTGATTGTAAATGAAGTTGAAATCTAAGGCAACATGTTTCATGCGAAGTGAAAGACAAGGCTAGAGCATAATTATATAGCTCCAACACTCGTCGTGGTAGATCATGAGAGACTAAGGTAGGCTGAACGTGGAGTTTAGTGAGAAGAGAACACACCCAAGTTAGTCCGAGTGACGGTAGTGGCAACGGACCCATAGTCGGCCTTAGTAAAAGAGCGAGCTATATTACATTGCTTTCAGAACCTCATGAAACGAGATTACGACCAAGATAAACAATGAAAGCATTAGTAGAGAGGAAATCATCTTGGTTACCAACCTAATCGCATAAAAAAAAAAAACATTGATTGACTTCATATAGTTATGGTAGAGAGTAATATCATAATCGAAGTACCACATAAATATCAAAGAAAATGCTTTATAATAGATTAGTGGTTAGTGGTTGGGTGATGCATGTATAGGATAACTTGTTAATTGCAAAGGAATTACATCTATATAATCTCTTAAAATCAAGACATAAGAGATTATGGAGTTAAAAGGAAAGGAAAGGACAATGGAGTTTATGACTAGGTTTTGCTTTTAAGAGGATACTATGCTATCTAGAGGATTATGATAATTACATACCTTTAATGTCATTGATGAGTACTAATACATCAATACAATTCGGATAACCTAATTTCCTATAATTAAGCTAAATATAAATGATCTCATACATATACAACTAAGGCATTAAAAATACATAATATTCAATAGTTAAGGCATTGTATAGCAAAAGAATTACAAGTACATAATCTCCTATAATCAAGGCATAGTTAATTGATATCTCTATCGGCAATTTCAATTCCGTTTGATTGGGTGAAGAACCCTTTTATGTCTAAGTAAGTAAAATGAGGAATTATAAGCCCGAGAAGGTAGTGATATGAGTATTAAGAGAGGAGAAGAAGATAAATAAGGTTTGAGAGTCTAGAGATTAGACATCCCTAACCATAAGGCTCGTGGCCATTTATGTAGTTATGAGCCTTGCCAAGTTGCGTAAAGAGGAAAACAAGACTCGTCAATTCACTTGCCACCTCTAATCTTAGAGGCCGATTAGGAGATGAGTGTCATCGAGTTAATGGATTATTTCTAGGTATAGGAAAAGATGTCATAGGTATTGTCCATTTGACAAGGGTGGCTCGAAGGACGTACTTGCATTTAATAAGAGTACGATTTGTCTTTTTGGTTGGAAAAGAATAGGTTGTATTAGTCTAGGACATAGTTGGACAAATTCTTAATGAGTAATAGGCTTTTTGGATGGCTTTCCAAATTCCGTTTGCCTAAGATATGCCTTAATGAGGTATCGTTCGATCAAGATTATGATTAGATACCTTGTCTCATTGAGAATGAGGCCTTTTATATATGTATCAACCTTTGTGGCGGACTATGAGACTTTATAGGGTACACATATGCCTAAGGTATAGTAGTCATCCCTTCGAGTCTTGGTGACAAGGATGTCACTAAAACTTAAACATTCTATCGTGAGTATGTTATTTATTCGGATGACACATATGTCCTTTTTTTTATCAAAGTAATGAGTCTTTTCTCCCATCTTGTCACCATTGTAATTAGACATATCACAAGGCTTATATAAGGTTAGCTAGATGTCTTATATAAATATTTCATGTCATCCGGTGGTTAGGACATGCATCCGATTATAATTAGATATGTCATTGGTAGTTGGCCGAGTGGATAGTAGTTCTTTAGGCATTTTGACATGGTTAACCTTTTTAGGAGGTCCGTATAAGGCAATTATTGGCTTTTCTCTCTTCTTTTACCATTTTTATCTTATCTTTTCTTTTTAAGTTCACTTGAATGATTTTTAATAAGAGAGTAAGAGTTGTTAGGTATGTTTCGAAGGATTTTGAGGCCATCAACCATTCTTCATGGAGTTCACAAGTGTTGTCAAAGCAAAAGTGCCATGAATTTGGTGGTCTAAAGAGAGTGAGGTCTGCCATTCATAATGACTAAAGTTTTTTATTGATCAAAAAAACTTTAAACCGAGTAATCCTCTATCCATATTTTTACTTGGTTTTTAGAATAAAAAAATGATAAATCGAGATAGGATAATAACTATATCTAGGGCTATCCTAAATAGTGGACTTTGAGTGGGAATGGATGATTCTTACAAGGGGCTAGGGTACCCATTAGGTAGTTGGAGAACTTAGAGACCTATTAGTTGATATCTACACGACTAAGGTGTCTATTAATAGGTTGATCTCTTTTAAAAAAATTTTAGGTTAGGTGTATGTCATTATGATTCTTAGCTAGTTGGATAAGATTAGTTCACAATCGATTAGAGCAAGAACGAGAGAATGTAGAGATTAATGCACCTATGTGTATGTTTACCTACCGGTATACTTTACTATAGATCAAATTTGTGAGGGTTGTGTTTTGGCATTACAACCTATTAGCTAACCTGCTACATCTAAATGGTTGGGCTACAAAAGATGTCTTCAAGAAATTCTACAAGAAATTTAGAGTGGCCTTCTCTCTTAGACTTTTTTAGGTATTGACATATCATGATCGAAGTTTTAGGAGTAAACATGGGTTAGTCTAGTTCTATATTTTCTCTATCTAGAATAAAAAACTCATATGTATGGTGATTGTGGGCAAGATTGACCACTTCGAGTAGAGGGGTGAGTGTATTATTATTAAATTTAAGAGAAAGGTACCTTTAGAAGATGTGGTGGAGTGTAGGGGTGTGCCTATTTTTAGAAAATATCGATTGGGTCATATAACAACAAGCACCTATTAAGTAACACTAATTGGGCTTTTTAAGAGAAAGTCAAGAAGACAAATAAGATGTATAGAATAAATCTCTTAGCCTAAAAATGAATTCTAATACAAAGCTCATAGGACGGTTAGATTCTTTCTTTCTTTCTTTCTTTCTTTTTGTTGCTTTTATTTTATCTATGTTAAGGGTTGCCAACTTTTTCGCTTTGTAATGGGTTATTGAATGTATTGGTCTTTCCATTCAAGTAGATCTTTTGGTCTAATAGGTTGGTCCTTCCCGACTTTCGAGGGAATAAGAATTTTAAAGGAGGTTATTGGATACTCCTTCAAAGTACAATCGTTCCTCAATAGGGAAAGATCTACCTAAAAACTATTTTTTTGCTATTTTTTAGAATTTTTTTACTAGTCTAAAAGTTGGCATATTTAAAGACATGTAAAAGAACCATCCCAATGTAAAAACTTAAAGCATTGGATGAGGTCTCAAAAATAGGTTTATATCACTCTCTAATACACATCCTTAAGTGAAAGTCCTTTAGACTTGAAACTTGTATTGGCCCACCACTATCTTGTGCTTAATTATTAATTAGAAGAAAATTTCAAGGTGGTGAGATATGAACTTGTAACTCGTTTGATTATTAAAGCTCTAATACTATATCAAATAATCATTTTAATTCAAAAATTTAACATATAAGATGAGACTCGATAGATAATTTATATTAATCTCTAATAGATCCGTCCGATAGTTTTTTTCTCTCAAAATCTTAGAAATAGAAATCATCTTTTTATTCCTCTTGGTAACCTAAATGTGTTTTTGCATCCACTTATGTTATCTAGTCGTTGATGATTCTCTTGGCTCCAACAATCCCTATATTGATATACTATCGGTTAAGAACTATTATGTACTGAAAGAGGTAGGCTTTAGAAGCCTCTGTCAAGTTAGGTTCAATGATTATGGTTCTATACTTTATAGTATTATTGGAGGAATGAAACTTAAATTACAACTTATAATTAAAAAAAAAAACATCTTGATTATGGCTTATAAAAAAAGATCCTAATGCCACTTCTATGTAGATTAAAGGTGGTTCATAAAAATTTACATCTCTCTGTGGTTGATGTTTGTATTGGAGTTTATTTCTTTGATGTAAGCTTATTGAAAAAATATTCAACAATGAAATCTATAAATGTTTGTTCTTTGATGATCGATCGGGATTGATACCGCAAGGTGAAATCTTTAACTCAATGGCCTAATAAACCAACCATCCAAACATGTCCGAGTTTGTGAAGGATTTTTTTAGTGGTGATAGGCATGACTATGATTAGATGAGCCTAAAAGTAAAGACTAAGCTTTCTTGCTGTATTGACTAATACAAAGACTAGGTTATTAATTTTTAGATACCTTATTTATGTTGTTCTAAAAAATGGCTTATGTGTTCCCTTCTTCTCTCGAACCAAAGCAACATTGATGACCATATTAGATGTTCTTAGGTATAGAAAAAAAAAGTTTCCTTTTCTCTTACTTACGATAAGATCCGTGGTTAGGTTATAAATATCTTATATTCCTTGAACGCTTTTCCATACTTTAGAAACTAGTAAAAGTTTATAATGCTTTTTAGAGTACCAAAAATGAACAAGCATTTCTCTCCTAGATGAGAGATAAAATGGTTCAGTGTAGCCAACTAGTTAATGAGTCTCTATACATTCTTCACTAATTATGGGATGACATGTTTAGAATGGTTTGAACCTTCTCGAGGTTTGGTTTTATCCCTCTACTACTCATAAGAAAACCCAAGAACTTACCTCTCCGGATGGTGGATGAACACTTGGAAAGATTCGATTGCATTTGGTATGTATGAAGATTTCAGAATACCTTTTAAAGATCTTGAATATGCTTTTTAAAGCTCAAGTGCTTAACCTATATGTCATCTACAAAGGCTTTTATATTCCTAGAACATCCTATCTACCATTCTCTAATAAGTTGTCTTAATATCTTTTAGGCTAAAAGTCATGGTTTTGTAAAAATATGTCCCTTTTTATTTATAACAAAAAAAGTTTTTTTTTCATTATTGGTATGTATAAGAATCTAGTGATAACCGGAGTTAGCATCTAAAAAGCTTAGGAACAAAGAAATTGTAGTGGAGTCAACCAACCGACCTATCTTGGGGAGACACAAGTTGTCATTGGGTAGGCCTTGTTAAGTTTTGTGAATATCATTCACATTCTCTATTTTTCATTGGATTTTTTTTTACCATCATAAAATTAGCTAACTAGTTAGCGTA